TGACCTGTATCTCCCACATTTAGAATGTATGGAAGTTCATCTTTCAGTGACTGTATGGCACAAATAACATCCATGGAAATCATATACATTTCCTATGTCCCAACGCAATTTTTTTAGCATAAAAAAAATTTACCAGATTTTTTGGGTGTCTTCTGTAATCTAATCTTTGTAGTAAAAAAAAAAAAAGGTGCAAAATGACAGAAATAAACTGCTGGGACATTAGAAAACTGTAAGCATGTAAGAGTAGAGTTGTACAGTTTACATTAATGGCCAGTGTTTAGAGTTTATTTTCCCCAAAGGGGTTCTGTAACAAATTTAAATGCTTTTTCCATTTTAAGCCTATGTTTAGAGAATACATTTCCTACAGAAAACACTATGAATATAATAAGTATAAGCATCTCAAGGCTCAAGGGCATCTTGAAAAAAATGAGTTTTTGATATTCAAATAAAGAATAGCATCCAACTGAGAATGACTTGGACAAAGACAATACGAAACAGAATCCAGGAGTTGTAGCAATTTTATGGTTAATTTAATCAAACCAAACACCTACCAAGCCTATTGGAAGTAGCATTTCAGAAAACGATTAAATGTAAATATACAATTCCCTGAAAATGCCATTTTTTAAAAAAATAGTTACATAGTGAAATTCAAAACTGGAAAGGTCATGGGGAAAAATACATAATGAAATATAGGGTGTGGCAAAAGTAGGTTTACAGTTGTTCATATGGGAAATAATATGATAATTAATCCATAACAATACAAGAATAAACTGTTTCACATACACCTGTAAACCTACTTTTAAAAAAATATGTTTTTAGTGATTTTAGAGAATGAAGGGAGAGGGAGGGAGAGAAACATCATCAATAGGCTGCCTCCTACACGCCCTGACTGGGCGTTGAGCCTGAAACCCTGGCATGTGCCCTGACTGGGAATCCAACTTGTGACCCTTTGATGCACAGGACAGTGCCCAACTCACTGAGCCACACCAGCCAGGGCTGTGAACCCACTCTTGCCCCACCCCGTGTTCTGAAGGGGAATGAATGGAGGGTGACTCCCATCAGCATCGCTTGCAGTCACAGCCCATTTTGTTGAGGATTTTTTCTAACTCCGAGCTCTCCAGAGGTTGGGAGAAACCCTAAAACACAGGGCCTGAGACTCAGCACTGACCGCAACAACACACGGATGTGCTTTATCAGCCTGCGTTCATTCCCCCGCAGCATCTCATCTGTAATTGCTTTCTCCGTCTCCGCAGCGGCCTGCCTCCCATCTGTTCCCAGATAACACCCATCACCGCTCGGCTAAACCGGAAGACAAAGCGCCACTCCAGGCCCACCTCTACGCAGCTAGAACCTCCAAACAACGGCATCTGGTGGCGCCCATCGAAGAAGCTAAGCGGTTATGTATCATGTGGAACTAGGTGGCCATGCTGACTAAGACTAAATATGTAAAATGAAATGAAAAGCTGTGGGAGTCATTTGGATAATAAATATGGCCTACAAGCTGCCCAAATAATTTAAGGCAATGTTTGTACTCCAGAATTATCTCATTCCACAGTTTACATACATTTAAATAGGACATTCCTTTTTATGGATGACAAATATTTGATTAGCAGAAAGGAGAAAAATAAATGGGTGAATGAGTATAGGAAGGGCTGCAGAGGAATGGATAGCAGATAAGAAAGATAATTAAGGCTCCAATAAGAAGGGGATGTTTGAGCATAGCCTAGAGAGGCCTCAGAGGCGCCTGCTGTTCGGTTTTGTTTTGACATAAGCTTTTATTGATTTCAGAGAGAGGAAGAGGGAGAGATAGGAACATCAATGATTAAAGAGAATCATGGATTTGCTGTCGCCTGCACGCCCCCTACTGGGGATCGAGCCTGAAAACCGGGCATGTGCCCTGACCCAGAATAGAACTGTGACCTCCTGGTTCAAGGAAGGACCGCTCAACCAATGAGGCACACTGGCTGGGCAACCCTGCTGCTTTTATTGAAAGGCATTCTAAGTAAAAGGAACCTGGGTCAGGCGGAGGCCCAGAAGTTGGAGGAAATGCAAGGAGACAAATATGTCTCCAGCAAAGGGCACAAAAGAAGTATAAGGGATGAGGTCAGAGGAACAAGGGCGAGAGCATGTTGAAGGCCGATTGGATAGATCCTGTGGGATCAAGGTGCTGGGATTCTACTGCAGCTGAGATGGAAAGCCGCTGGGAGTTGAGGGGATGGGAGTAACATGAACCAGCGGATTTTCTAGACCCCACTATGGCTCTGTGTTGAGAATGGACGAAGGGAGCACCAGAGGGGAATCAATTGCAATCTTCTGTGTGTCAAACTGTGTTATCTTGGACGGAGAGACCAAGTGCTGGGTGAGGGACCAAGTGCTGTGGATGCTCTGAACGTGGAGCAAACAGGAGCTGCCGATAGGCTGTGAGTGGAGTAGGAGCGAAAAGGAGTCCGAGCTGCCTCTGGGTTTTTTAGGTCAAACATCACGACGGAGTTTATTGCCATCAGCTGAGAAGGGGAAGGTGGCGAGAGGAGCAGGTTTCCGGGGGTAGTTCTGCAGTTTGGTTTCCGGCAGGCTAATTTTGAGACGCCTTCATATGTGCCTTTGGAAATGGCTGGATAGGCAGGGGAGTGAATATATGAGTCTGAAGTTCAAGGAAAGATCTGG